GGTTGTTAGTCAATTGGCGGATCACTTTCTGGGGGAAACAATCCCCTAAAAAAAATTGGTTTATTCAATCCAAATGCTGTGCGCAATTGGCTGCGCGTTTCGGCCACAAAATACACAGTCAATCCGCTTTACAATATATTCTGTGAAGCGCTTTGAGACGCCTCAACAATACGATAAGGTGTTATATCAAATGCAAGGATTATTATTATTATATAGATGTGAGAAATATTACAATGCTGAAGGTGAACTAAGATGTACTTCAAATGGATTAAGGATTACCTTTCCAGTGTCAATTCTGTGTCTAATGCAAGGATTCTTTTTATAAACTGATGATGTGGTACATGGTGTACCAGAGTTTTGCTGATTCACAACTCTGCGACCTAATATAGTTCACAGTTGCAACCTCGGCACTTCTCACCCGCAAACACATTGTTTTGCAATGCGTGGATTTCTGTGCATTAATTATGCTCCCGTCCACTCTTTGAAACAGTAATCCTCACTGACAAAATCCTGACAATGACAGACAATGATGGGGATCAAACTGTTTGCTCTGAAAGGGAGCAATGCAATGGCACATAACCCATCATGTGAGTCCCATGACTGCTTCCCCTCTCAGCCCCACAGTTGCCTATTCAATTCAGACTCATTCAAATGAAAGAATGATCTATCATTAAAACAAGCTGACTCGTAAAACTTAACCCCATTCCCTTTGTCAACAACCACTTATCTGCCACAAAGGGAACCCGTTTATTATTATTAACAAGTCAAATAGCGTGCACAACCGATGCTCGATGTGTGTTTTTTTTCCTGCAGGGAAAGCCCCAGTGCACCGAGAGGTGCAACAAATTCAATGTCAAAATATACTTGACTGTGGAAATCTTAAAACTGTGATTTTAAAGGCGAATCGGTGCCCCTTTGATAATCTAACACTTTCATTGCGTGTTGTGGTCATCCTAAAATACTGATAAAACGCCGATCGGTGTTGAGGAGCCTTCAGTTCTCCTCTCGACTCTCTACCCCCTCCTCACTCCCTCCCTCCCTTCCCTCCCCTCACCCTGACCATTTCCCCCCTCCTCGCTCCCTCCCTTCCCTCCCCTCACCCTGACCATTTCCCCCCTCCTCGCTCCCTCCCTTCCCTCCCCTCACCCTGACCATTTCCCCCCTCCTCGCTCCCTCCCTTCCCTCCCCTCACCCTAACCATTTCCCCCCTCCTCGCTCCATCCCTCCCCTCCCCTCACCCTGACCATTTCCCCCCTCCTCGCTCCCTCCCTTCCCTCCCCTCACCCTGACCATTTCCCCCCTCCTCGCTCCCTCCCTCCCTTCCCTCCCCTCACCCTGACCATTTCCCCCCTCCTCGCTCCCTCCCTTCCCTCCCCTCCCCTCACCCTGACCATTTCCCCCCTCCTCGCTCCCTCCCTCCCTTCCCTCCCCTCACCCTGACCATTTCCCCCCTGCTCGGGTCCTGACCCAACTGTCCAGCGCCTTGGGACGTCCTCCCGACGTGAAAGGCGCTCTATAAATGGAATCTTGTTGTTGTTGTTGTTGTTGTTGAGGGGGTAACAAATATTTAGCTTCAGATGCGAGATGCAGGAAAGGTGGCAGGAAATGAATAGCCCGCAATATTATTATTATTATGTTATAAATGCGGGGATTTGGCAGCTCCTCTCGGGGCTCCGTGTCCATCGACACCTCAGCAAATGAACCTGTATTTGCTGCAGTTCCTTCGCAGTTCCTTTTATTTTGTTTAGTTGTTTGATTTTGAATTCTAAGCGCATTCGCGATTGCGGGTCTCTCTGCACTGAAATTATTACTGGTCACAAATACACAGTACATATATATAGATATATATATATAATATACACACACAACATACAACAGCAATTTATATCGATATAAGCAGCGTCTCGGAGCGCTTATATGGTTTCATTTATATATGAACCTGTACGAAAATACACACACACACACACACACACACAGATAGATATGAAAAAAAAATAGGATTTTGCCTGTTTTGTGTGTGTGTGTGTGTGTGCTTTTGCATTCGAATAAACCGCGTTTGTAACCATGGTTTCTGGACCATATTCCTGGACAGACTCTGATGTTATTGGGAATAACGTTAATCTGATGCTTTCTTTATCCTCAGGTTTGTCCTTTGGAGATGAGGAGGAGGAGGAGGAGGAGGCAGAGAGGGGAGGGGGAGCTCACAGGGGTGGGGGGGGGGGGGCGGGGGGGGTTATTAAGGCGTTCACGTGGTACTCCACCGTATTATGGCGAGATTATGTCTCGCTGTGGTCTCCTGAGGGCGAGATGTTTGTGGAGGAGGAAGAGGTTTGGCTGATGTGAGAGAGTGGGAGAGGGCGTTCGGTTTGCAGTCAGTGTTTAGCAGCTCCTCCTCATGGCTGGAAGTGGTCGGCGGCAGCAACAGCAGCTTCGTGACCAGGAGAGGAGAGGAAGAGAGAGGACACCGCGCTCCACCTCCACCTCCACCTCCTGCTAACAACTGATCGGCACGGTAGGGTTTCTCGGTGCCACCCGAGCCGGAGTGATGGCAAAGCAACTGTTTGGTGTGCGAATGGGGGGGGAGAGCGTATGTGTGTGTGAGAGAGAGAGACAGAGAGAGTCTGCAGAGAAGCACAAATTGCAATATGTTTGGAAGCTTATGCCTTATGCCTTATGTGTGTGAGTGTATGTGTGTGTGTGTCCACTCGCCCAACGACCAAAGGTTTCGTTTTATTTTCTCGTCTCTGAGTCAAATAATAGCTTTGAGAATGGCAGGTAAATGCAACAGCTGTCCTTGCACAGCAGAGAGGTGGTTGGTATAGGGAGATCTGAGGTGTTGGAAAGTGCTTCCAATTCTCTCTCTCTCTCTCTCTCTCTCTCCCCCCCATACACACACACACACACACAACCTTTGCAAAGTGTTAAAAATGCAGATAGGGAATAATGCGAGAAAGGCAAGGCGAGCCTCTGCCACTGACCATACCAGGCAGCAAGCAGAAGGCGAGTCTTCTTTTTGTTTTGAAGCGGGAATAACTGAAACAGACCCGTGGCGAACGGTTCTTTCACTGTGCATCAAATATTACATTATAGTGCAAAATAATATTACGAATTCTGCTGTGTTTTACGCTATATATATATATATACTGTGTGCATATAAAGGGGATGCAAATATTAGTATGCAATGTGTTGATTACAATGTGTATGACTGCTGTATATTATGTCTCAAACACGAGTCTCCCTTCCCCTCTGCGTCCCGTTTCTGATTTGAATCATCTTTATAAACAGAGATGAACATATGCCGCACAGTGAGTTTGCCCTTCACGCTGCGGTCGTCTGTCCTTCGCTCGGATCCATCTTCATAACTGTTTCTAAAATAATTGTCACACAGTCGATCCGAGCCGTTAGATTGCGGGCTGTGTGACTGATTCCTTCCTTTTTGTGTGTGTGTGTGTGCGCTTTCTGATCCTCCGTCAGCGGCAAAATAAGAAAGAAATATACAGTATATAAAAAAAACACAGGCTTTCTCTGCGGTGATCATCAGGCGGTAAGATCTGCTGATTCATAACAGTTGTAAATGCGAGGTATAAGGGAGAAGAGAACAGGGCAAACGTGTGCACTGTCTGTGAGAGGACCATTTATTTCCAGGTCGTTTTAATGCCTTTGTGTGTGTGTGTGTGTATATATATGTGTGTGTGTGTGTGTGTTTTGCTTATTCGCTCAGTGCACGGACTGATAGATGATATCTTGGCCTCACGTGAATGCAGTGGTAGAAAGGTGACTTTCGATGGTGATGGTGATGGTGTGTGAGTGTGTGTGTGTGTGTATACAATCCGGTTTGAGTTTAGAATACGTGTTATCAGGACGTTACCTTATGCAACACTCCCCAACAGCTCTTGTGTAACTCGGGCAGTTAACGCGTAGGGAACAGATCGCATAAATCGTATGTTCTTAGACTTTCCCCCCCATCATCCAGTTGTTGCCTGTGTATTTCTTTTAAATCCGGATTCCTCTACCCCCCCCCCCTCCCCAACCCCCCCACCCTCTCCCCTCCCCAACCCCCCCACCCCCCCCCTCCCCAACCCCCCCACCCCCCCCCTCCCCAACCCCCCCACCCCCCCCCCCCCCCCCCCCCCCCCCCCAACCCCCCCCCCCCCTCCCCAACCCCCCCCACCCTCTCCCCTCCTGCTTTCACTCCCAATTACAACGCAATGCGCAGAACGCTGTGATCTCTCTCTCTCTCTGTCTCTTTTACATTTAAAAACACAATTTTCTTTTTTCTCTCTCTCTCTCTCTCAATGTTTCTCCAGGACGCCAGAGAAAGTCACATCCGAAAGACTGGTCCCATCTCTTTCCCTCCGGACTCCCCATTGCCTTCCACAAATGCAATGCAGGCAGCCCGATAGACAGACAGACAGACAGACAGACAGACGGAGAGATAAATAGACCAGACAAGACAGTGCATGAATTATCTGAACTTTGCAGAAAGGTGCAGAGAGCTGAAAGCGGTCTAACTACTCCAACCACCAACCGGGCAGACATGGAGTCCAGCGATGTCTTGGGCGTGGGATGTAACCCCGATGGGAAGCCGGAGCTCCGGACATCCCGGACAAAGCTCTTCCGAAAACACCAACAGCAAAGCAAGAGGAAGCTGAGGCTGACTCGGGTCCTGGGCTTATGTCTTGGTCTGATGGCTCTGAGCGCCTTCTCCCTCTCATCCAGTGCCTTCTCGTGGTCCTCGGCCGAGCCTCCCCAGCCCCGGCCCCAGCCCCAGCCCCAGCCCCGGCCGGGCGGCGGCAGGAGCCTCCTGGGCATCGAGAACAAGGACGGCTTCCCCGACAGCCCGAGCCAGAGCCTGGACCCCCCCACCCCGGGCAGGGCTGAGGGGGAGCCGGGCACCGCCACCCCCAGCCCCGCGCCCACACACGAACCCAAAGGAGAGTATCCCAAAGACGTGTTCTCGCTGGAGGAGCGGAGGAGGGGAGCGGTGGTGCTGCACGTGTTCGGTATGATTTACATGTTCATCGCCTTGGCTCTGGTCTGCGATGAGTTTTTCGTCCCCTCCCTGACCGTCATCATCGAAAAACTGAGGATTTCCGACGACGTGGCCGGGGCGACCTTCATGGCAGCGGGAGGCTCGGCTCCGGAGCTCTTCACCTCGTTGATAGGAGTGTTTATATCCCACAGTAACGTCGGGATCGGGACCATCGTGGGCTCCGCCGTGTTCAACATCCTCTTTGTCATCGGGATGTGCGCCGTCTTCTCCAGGGAAATCCTGTGCCTCACCTGGTGGCCCCTGTTCAGAGACGTGTCGTTTTATATCCTCGACCTGATTTTGCTTATAATTTTCTTCTTGGATAATGTCATCGTTTGGTGGGAGAGTTTAATTCTGTTGAGCTGCTACTTCTCCTATGTGACCTTCATGAAGTTCAACGTCGGCATGGAATCGTGGGTGAAGGGGAAATTAAACCGCAACAAAGTCGTGGAGGCCACAGCAACAGACGGCGAAGAAAAGGTAACTTGTGTTTCTTTTTGTTGTTGTTGTTGTTGTTGTTGTTGGCTTGTGTTGGTGGAGGGGAAAGCAATGGAGTTAAACCAGTTTGTCGTCTTCAACGTGGCACTCCTTTAACTGCCCTTCACTTTACCAGTTGGCTTTCCGTTCATGTACTGCCTTTCACTATGTTGGTAGATGTTGGGTTAGGGTAGATGTTGGGTTGGGTAGATGTTGGGTTAGGGTAGATGTTGGGTTGGGTAGATGTTGGGTTAGGGTAGATGTTGGGTTAGGGTAGATGTTGGGTTAGGGCAGATGTTGGGTTAGGGTAGATGTTGGGTTGGGTAATAATAATCCTTGCATTTGTATTTGATGTTGGGTAGATGTTGGGTTAGGGTAGATGTTGGGTTGGGTAGATGTTGGGTTGGGTAGATGTTGGGTTAGGGTAGATGTTGGACCAGCTCAGTAACTTCGCCTTTTAGGACCTGCTGTTTCTGACCCGGCAAAGAGTAAGACCTGGACCTGCAGAGGGAGTCCAGGGTCTTTGGTGATGGAGGAAGAGCAAACCTGTTTCTATATGTTACCATTCATATAAAATGGGCTCTAATTCCTTCTTGTCTGATTTTCAGTGGTTAAGATTGTGCCTGGGGCTGAAGTTGTACTTCAAGTGGCAAAACTACCATTTTTTCTCAAGGCAACCAATCTGCTGGTGTCCAAGGGACCTGTGATGCTTGAGGAGGATGGAGATGATGGACACGCAGAGCCTAGTGCAGGAGAGCATGTGACTGCAGAATTTTTAATGAGCTGGAGCTTGTGTACAGTACCACTTGGCAGTCAGGCAGGTAAAGCATTTGAGAAGTGATGAAAATGTGAATGAGGGCTTTGGTTGCATTGGTGCAAAGATAGGGTCAGAGGCAAGTGAGAATAGAGAAAATTGGTCTTTGTAGGGGACAGGATATAGGGTTTGAAAGAGCTGAAGGTTGACCAAACCCTTTTTAAGCTGTAACAGATTCATCTGTCAGTAAACGTGCTTTGTCATCTCCATAAAGTCCTCAATGAAGTTGCAAATTTAGCCCCTAGATATCAGTTCAATGATGTAATATTGCGGAAGGGCACAATATTGATGGAATTAGCTTTTGGATAGAAACTGAAACCATTGCATCAAGTAAAGTGTCCGATTATCAAGGTTAAATTAACAGAAGTGAATCATCTTTACATTTTCAATGAGGTACTGTAGGCCTAAAGGTTGGAGTGAGCACGCAATGACTGACATTTATTCCAGGCAGGCCTTGAAAAGCATTTGGTATCAAACGAGAATTTCAGCTCTGACCTTCTCAATCACTCCAGCCTCCCTTGCAAACACATCCAACTAGAGCTCAACCTTATCATTTGGTTTGAACCTCAGGTCTCATTCCTTCCTCCCTTCCTTGCATTCGATGCATCAAGGCCATTTTCTTCAGTTCCACCACATGAGCTACCTCCCTATTTCACACCAAAACCCATCAAAACCCTAATTCACACCTTTGTTAACTCCTAACTCGACTTCTCTAATGCACTCAACATGGGTCTTCCTAGTTCTACCATCCTCAGGCTCCAGCTCTTTCAAAGCTCCATTGCCTAGATCCTCACCTGCACTAAGCTATGCATGCCCACCATCACCCCAGTCCTTGCCAAGCTCCACTGGCTCCCTAGCTCTCAATCGAACAATTTCAAGGGCCACATCCCACCTACAACAACAAATTATATTTATATGGTGCCTTACACGTTGGAGAACGCCCCAAGGTGCTGGACAGTCAGGGATTTTGACCTGAGCAGGGGATTGGGATCTGGAGTGATGGAGGACAGGGAGGGTATGGATAGGAGGCACAGTTGAAGAGGAGGGTCTTGAGACGTGCCTTGAAGGAGGCAATGGAGGGAGTGAGGCGAAGGGACTGCAAGATAGAGTTCCAAAGGGTGGGAGCAACTAGGCTGAAGGACGGGCCGGACGGGCATGGAACAGGCCAGAGCCTGCTGAGGGGAGAAACAGACAGGTTGATCTGGCATAAATCCCTTTATAGGATAGCACCTCTCCATCTATAGGATCTCCTACTGCACTCTTTTAATCGCCTCCTCTGTTTGGAAGTCTCGGGCCAGCTGCATGCCCACCCCCTATCTTTTCTACTCCACTATTGGTGGTTGAGTGTTCAGTTTCAATGTCCCCAATCCTCTGGAACTTCCTTCTCTGTTTTTCAATCCTGCCTAAAAAACCTATCTTGTTGACCATACCTACAGTCATCTTCCCACCCCCACACATACACAGACATCTCCCTCTCTTCCCTTGCTTGGGTGTCAGTGAGGTCATCAATGAGGTGTCAGGGCTGCCTATCACCATGAGAGTTTACCTGAGGTCACCAATGGTTGAATCAACTTGCTAAATTTGTTTTCAGTCCAAACTAGGGAAAGGGATGTTATTGTGCATTGAAGCCTGAGAAAATGTGTACTTCATTCAAGAGTAACTCAATGTAGAATATCCCAACTTACAGCGTTCATCATTTTGAAATGTAAATTATAACCTTGAGATATTTACAGTAAGTATTTATTTATCAGAATTCATCTGTACTTATTTATGCAGAAATAACACATGGGAGGAGGTTTGCTGATGTTAGAACATTTTCCACATGGGCTTCATTTTCACTGAAGCCAAGAACAGCCTGTGTGGTTCACATGACTGCTACAGTTTTTCCGGAGCATGATTTTTTTTGTTTGTGTAGTTCTCTACAGACATCGTAAAAATGCCTATTTTGTGTGAAAGGATACACTTTCTTTTTAAAGCTATTTACTCCCCTCTTTTCCACTTAGATCTACCCTGAACTGTGTACTTCCTGCAGCCAATATCGTACAGAAATGATCACCTCCCAGGTTTCTGACATTACTAATCAAACAATGGCTGCTAGGAGATTCAGGGGAGCATCTTGGTCTCTGCGAGTGGTGCACTGACACTGGCTATTTCTTGCGGCTTCTTCCTCCCCAACTCCCCCTTCCACAGTGATAGGATCCAGATTGGTGACTCAGTGGACAAGGGTAACCCACTCTGTGGTGGCCATGTTGGATTTCCGATGAGCTGCACCAATGTGCTTGCCCTCGCTTTTTAAAATTACAAGCCCATTAGAGTAGTGAGGTGTTTTAACGATAAATTTGTGGACTTGGAACACTTTGGATGTACATTACTAGAATATTATAACTGCTGCATTCAGCTGCCAAGTTATTCTTAGAGATGAGGGCATAATGTTATAGGTTTTATGTATTTTTAACTATATTCCTACACTTGTAGTAAGAAGTGTTTTTTTAAATAGTCATCAAGAATACAAAACAAAATGGTTACGCTTTACTTCTCTGTTCAGTTAAATTATTTCCAGTGAGAAATCAATGCTGATCAATGCCATTCTTTTACTGCATGTTGAGTGTTAACATGACTCGCGTTTTTTGTTCATTCAATGCGAATAGTGCAGTACAGATCTGATTTTAGGAATACTAATTTAATTTTGAGACCCATTCCTCAAATCACATATTTTGTCATGAATTGGTTCCATCAGCTGCTGACCTAACACCAACAGTTTGTAATTCCCCCAATATAAGTTGAAACAAAGTTGTGGTGCATTCTGTGTTGTGCCTTTTAAGATGTTTAATTGTCATTAGATATCTGGTCGTGATCCGGGCTTTCTGCAACATTAAAAGATTAAACTTGAAATTCGCTGCTGTTTAGTGGATCATTGCACTTATGCAGAGCTTTTCTCTGGCCCTGGCAAGGACGAGTTTGAGAGAGTAAGCAGGAACACAGGTCTCTTGCTTGAATTGTTTTATTGGAAATGATATTACAGTGTTTCCAGCAATATAAAACCCAAACAACAATTTGCGCTTTAGAACACAAACGGCTGTTGAAGATGGAATATGTGTATTCCATCTTCAGGTCGAGCCTTCGTTTTTGACCACGCCTACGGTCACCTTCCCCCTCCCCCTGGCTTGGCTTTGAGCTCCACCATTGTTAAGCACTTTGAGATGCCGCCCGGCGTGGAGGGCGCTATGTAAGTGCAAATTGTTATCGTTGTATACTGTACAATCATAGAATGTTTGTAACACAAAGTCTATTGAGCACATAATTTCTATATGGTATAACCTCTTTCACTGGATCTTTCTCTTCTAATTCTATTTTCCTGCTCTTTTTCCATGTCCTTTAATATTTTTCCTCCAGTAATCATCCAGTACTCCTTTAAATTGTGCTGTTCACTCTGCTTCAACAGCCGTTTGTGTTCTAACAACAATACGTGTAAATAAAATCCTTCTAAGCAGGGAGGAGATGGAGGCAGATTGTGTCCCCAAATTAGAGGAAATTGGATAGCTATTTCATGAAGAAATCAGCCAGCATGACAGATCAAGTAGTGTTGAGATTGTTTACCTTTGGGATTGACTAGATGGGCTTGGCCAGACCTGTACCTTCCTAGGCTCCTATTGAATGAAGACTGAATAGTCCAGTACATATGCATTATAGTGATGCTGTGGGCACTCTCAATTGTGCATAAATTGAATTGTTGATTTAAGTCATTGCCTCTTGGGAGCTACCAAGCAGGTTGCAAGATCTTCCTTCCCCTCTTGGAGGAAGAGAAAACTGTAGGGAGACAAGCGACTGGCAGTGACATAGGGTGGAAACCATTCACCCTATTAGGAATATTGCATGACTCAAGGAGACCATAGAAAGGAGGGAAAATATGTCACCAAACGCACAAATATAATATCTTTGTAGGGATGGGTTTGGTGAGTGAGTTTCATTGCTGGCCTGCATAATGGCTAAACATTTGTAGTTTGTAATGTGATTTGTAGAACAAACTGAAATATGGACCAAGCATCTAAATATAATAATAATAATCCTTGCATTTGATATAGCGCTTTTCACATCTTCTCAATGTCTCAAAGTGCTTGTTTTGAACTATTTTCTATGTTTGGCAGTAGGGGATGTTTGCGCAGCCAATTTCAATCATTCACAGAATAAA